GGGGGATGACGGCAATGCTTCACCCACAACACAGCGTACTCCATGTCCAGTAGAGCGTAAAGAAAAAAAAAGAAAAACTAAAAAAACAAACAAAACAAAACCAAAACCACAGCAAATATTTGGGTCGCACGTTATTGACAGGGCGAAGATCGGACGACGACGCTAAATCAAAGCTCCGTGGATCTGTTTGAAAACTTTTCGGATCAGACTTAGCGCAATTTGTCACGGCCGTTACGATATCGATTGGTAGCTATTATGTTACTCAATGAATAAATTACACTCCCTGTAGGGGAGCCCCAGGTCTTTGCTGCTGGTGGTGGTATCACTTGTGTCTTGATTTTATGCACTGGGAGGGGGTCGTGAAGTTTGTGCATGCAGGGATTAGCTCGAGTCGATCTCTACCCAGGTGTATTAGAATGACGTGCTTTTTGAAGTGAGGATGTGCATTCCTTCTGTGGCTATAGTATGCTTGCAAACAGGTGTGGATGATAAAGTTGTACTTGTTTATGTATACGTATAAGCTTGTTTACATTTCTGATTGTCTTCTCTGACTGTCTGTTTGTCTGTGTGTCTATATGTCTGTCTGTCTTTTTCTGTCTCTATTTTTGTCTTTGCTTTGATTTTGTCTTTGTCTGTCCGTCTATATGTCTGTCTGTCTGTTTGTCTGTCTGTCTGTTTGCTTGTTTGTTTGTCCGTCTGTCTGTCTCATTCTGTCTGTCTGTCTGTCTGTCTGTCTATCTGTCTCTCTGTCTCTCTCTATCTAGGAGGGGGTCGAGAATTTTGTGCATGCAGAGATTAGTTCTGGCTGTTCTACCCAGGTGTATTAGAATGACGTGCTTTGAAGTGAGGATGTGCATTCCTTCTGTGGTTGTAGAATGTTTGCATACAGGTGTGGATGATCAAGTTGTACTTGTTTATGTACGTGCATAAGCTTGTTTATATTTCTGATTGTCTTCTCTGACAGTCTGTTTGTCTGTCTGTCTATCTAGCTGTCTGCCTTTTTCTGTCTCTATTTTTGTCTTTGTCTTTGTCTTTGATTTTGTCTTTGTCTTTGTCTTTGTTTTTGTCTGTCTGTCTGACTGTCTGTTTATATGTCTGT